AAAATTTAGTTGTGTAATAGGAAATACACAACGGTCTTGGTCATTCGCGTTTTCGTAGCTTGCATTGTTGGCGGTTTGTAATGCGCTAGATGAGAATAAAAGCAGCGGAGCTTTGAATTTAAGCAGCTTACCAGGCCCCTCGCGGCCTCGCCGTTTTTACTCAAGCCGATCGACGCTTCTAATGCTTACCATAAGACTGCTATCTACGCAGGCAAGCGTTTCCACGTCCATCAAGAAGTTAGCTTGTTTTTAGTTTGAATTCTCGGTAGTTTCTAACAAGTCATTTGTCGAATTTTTTATCGATTAACTATAAATCTATATCTCGATATACATATTTATTATAAACGGAACTTCTCATTACAGTAGTCTAAACAGACAGAAACAGTATGAAAAACAACTTAAAAAATTCAGCAGGAGAAATGTTACCCAAACGGCAGATATTTCCATCTCCATAGTAACCCTGTTTGCATGTACAGTTGTACGATCTCTTAATATTGTTGCACACAGCATCAGCACTGCAGTTCGTTTTTCCTGTAGCACACTCATCGATATCTGAAAAGACTCTCCTTTAGAATTAGAACGTCATCACTGCAATTAATTTTAAAACTAATGCAGATTTAAAAATAAAGTGTAAACAACAAATGGAGATCCACGTTGGATCCGATGTCTTAAGGGTCTTGAATTTTTTCTGCAGTTCTCTTAGCCTTGCAAGAGTAACATCATCCCATCTGGGTATGGATTATAAGCAAGACAAGTTGTCCGTCTTTCAAATTCACTATGTTTATAAAGTATATTGCTTTTAAAAATACAAAATTGTCCGCCGCTTTGCTTGATGATACCAATAAGGCAACATATATTTACATTTATCATTATCTAGTTAATTATCATTAGACTCTGAAACAAGGCTCTGTTTTACCTTTGCAAGTCCGTCCATTCCCGGTAAATCCTGGTTTGCATTTGCAGCGATACGATCCCTCGGTATTGTTACACATAGCATCAGCACTGCACTTGGATGTTCCGTCAGCGCACTCGTTTATATCTGTAAAATTCATGGCAACCGATTCAATAGGGAAAATCCCTAAACACATGACCAATTTGATCATTTTAAGGGTTGAAATGTGTCTCTAGGTTCCATTCCCTTGTTCGTTAAAATAAAATCAGGGCTTTGGTCACGTTCATCTTTGCAACCATCTCTAGAATATCCAGGTTTATTTGGAAAGTTATAGGAACCTTTGGTATTGTTGGAAACAGCATTATATTTTTACTGTAGTCTTGTGTTCCTGTAGCACACTAATCGATATCTCAAAATACTCTTTTTTAATTAGAACGTCATCATTGCAAATGTGAAAATAAGATGTGAAAAACAAATTGAGACCTACGTGGGATCCGATGTCATAGTCCTGCAATTTTGAAGCAGCTTTCAAGCCAAGGGTTAGTTAAGAGCTGCATGGTTATTGTGTGAGTTTATTAAAAAAAAAAAAAAACGAACCTTAACTTTTACAGGTGCCTTTAGAAGTTGCGTATAAAACTGTAGTGAACACGAGCTTACGACCGGTTCGACATGACAGGGATTACCTTTCTCACACCTTGGACCTTTGAATCCAGTGGTACACAAACAGCGATATCCTTTGTCAGTAAAACCGCTTTGGCAAGTAGAATTGTTATCGCAAGGGTTATCAACACAAGCGCTCTGAAGCGGAAATAATATCATACATTGAAATATTAATAAAATGCAAAATGAGCAGCATTTAAACCAACAATAATGATAATGCTAAAGATAGAAATATTGACAGTGATATTAGAATTCAAGCAACAATTGCAACGATTATGACCGGAAAACTAGTTTTTTCTTTCACTTGAAATTAGTATTTGCTAATGATGCAACACCTACCTCAGCTGCATGATAAAAATAATCGTCTTTCTTCTCCAAGTCGTGTTCGTGTCTTTCGTGAGTAACATTATTCAGTTCACATTTGTAGCCTCCATGACCGCTTACTTGTTTATAAACATTAATGCTGACACAGCCAGGTTCTATATAACAGATGTTGTCACAAAAATTCATCGTCAGAACTTCAACGATGCGAATGACGTGGTTTATAAGACGTTTGCCGTCAAATGCTTTTTCAGGGGTAAACTCAAACACGCGGCATTGATCTGCTTCACAAAAGCCTTTAAGATTTATAGAAAAATATGAAAAAGGGAAACACTGATAAAAGAGATGGCCATAGGAGACGTCAAAATGATGATAATTAAGCATTTACTGATAGTTTCTCCGTTGGAATATATTCATTTCAACTCATCCATCTATTTGCTTCCCTTTTTATCTTCCATTTTAGTTTCTAGGTGAATACCTTTCTGGATAAATTGCAGACAATTATCCGTACTGCCATCTGCAGGAAACCTGCAGATGAAAATTAATTACCATGAAAAATGCATATATTTAAGTACGAAGATTTTCCATTCGAAAATTCCCCAGAAATAAACAGATGTAAATTTTCTCAGTAAAGACCGAAGTTCGCCGGTTTTAATTTGTAAAGTGGACTGAATCGTTGAAGAAATCCGTGAATGAACCAGATCAATGATCAAAGAAAGTTTGCAAAGAGCTTGTCATAACAGAAGATCTTTATTGCAAAACGTCTTCTTCTTCCGAATTAATTACTCCTCAAAAGCTACATATCTAACAGGAATCGTAAATTTGTCGATATCCCTGACGTTGGGAGTTATTTGCTGGAGAAAAATTTAACCACAACTGAGGCAAAAATCTAACTTTACCAGCGTAATAAACACAAAAACAACTACAGCCGACACAATTAAGAAGACTGAGTGGCATAACAAAAGACTAAGAAGACAATAAAATTTACGAGTGTGAACTTTTTACATGTTCGAATACAAATTACAAAAAAATTAATAAATTGATAAAGAAGGCATAGAGAGGTAGGAATAATACAATATATCAACTTGGAAGACAAGCTCGATAAAAATGAATTAATTAAGAAAAAAA